AGCACGTGCATAGTGGTATGTTAGATTTGTCACACTCAATGCTGTCATGAGCCAATAATAAGGGAGTAAGAGGAGCCTGCTACATATAATCCAATATAATTAAGTACATGTACACACACATATACAATTATATATGTGTATCTAAATCTATATTTGAAATGAAAAACAAAGAAACGAAATGTAATAAAATACACAATACATATAGCACACTAGGAAAAGGAGACATTTATTTGGTACTAATCAATCACACAGTCCACAGATTACCTAAGTCAATCTCACAATAGTGCTGGCTTTAAAGGTATCCCATTTTTACGCACTGGAGAATCAATCATTCTGTCTGAAACACCTAGGCTAATAAGGGCCCTATGCATATGTAAGGATATTCTTAAAATCCCCAGTGATTAATGATTTAGAAAACATGCCAAGTAATACATTATTTAGTTATACATTGTATTAAATCTAGTAAGTAGAATTTCATGAATAAAAAAGAGAGCATACAGTGAGTATGTACTTTACCTTGATAACATAAAGGCATTCCAGAGTTAATTTACTTTTAGTAAAAAAAAATCTCTTTAAACATAAAACAATATTTTAACATTCTTCCAGGCTTATAGGAACTTATTGTACCCAAGAGTTATTAGTTAAAGGACCACTATAGGCACCCAGACCACTTCAGCTTAATGAAGTGGTCTGGGTGCCAGGTCCAGCTAGGTTTAAGCCTTTTTGCTGTAAACATAGCAGTTTCAGAGGAACTGCTATGTTTACCTATGGGTTAATCCACCCTCTAGTGGCTGTCTCATTGACAGCCGCTAGAGGCGCTTCCGCGCTTCTCACTGTGATTTTCACAGTGAGAAGATGCCAGCGTCCATAGGAAAGCATTGATAATGTTTTCCTATGAGACTGGCTGAATGCGCGTGCGGCTCTTGCCGCGCATGCGCATTCAGCCAATGACGGAAGAAGAGGGAGGAGAGTTCCAGCGCCGAGGGAGTAGGATTAACCCCTTCCTCCCCCTTCAGCGCCACAGGAGTGGGACCCTGAGGGTGGGGGCAAATCAATAATTGCATGTATATGTTGCTGTTCCTCTGAAAAATTGAATTATGTAATTATGATTTAGAATTTCAATTTATGCATTTATACTTTACAGAAATATTAGGGATAAAATATTGGTGCACCTTATCTTGCTATATATCATGGTAGGTCTGCAAAACCTGCATAGTAAAACAGAAGCATAACCTTTGGCATATTATGTAGCAGATATGACAACATTTTATTATTAGATATTTGTGATGATCCTGGTGACATTTTGGAGTATTCAGTTTTCTAAAAATGCCATCAGAATTAAGAAAATGTCTGAACGTGGGCATATTTACACAAAACATCTGTACAATACAAGGTTTGACAGGATGAAATGGCAGACTGTAAACAATCCTTGTAGTGCGATCTGCGTGTTCAGAGTCCCGTCATTCCCCTTCTCCCTCCCTAGTTGCTACAATGTAGCCTTACACATTGATCTACAAAGGTTGTTGTAGAATACAGGAAAAAAATAGTGGAGATTCAATTTAAAGTGCCTCTCAATTGATGTGAAGGAATTGTAAATTGAAAGGGGAATTTTGTAGAGAATAGAGATGAACTGGCCTTAGCCACACTGGTCAAACCATAACATAACTATTACATAAATTATATAACACATGCAGAGAATGTGGAAATACATGTTGTATAACAGGTAAAGAGGAAGCATATGAATTTTGTTCCTAACCCGATTTTCTTTAAATCAATTAATTTTATATAATGTGGGCAACATATGAAAATAAATGACAGTCAATCAAAGGAGGACATCTAATGAGTTTTTCACGCAAATTACTGCTTTTCCGTTTAGGTGCTATCAAATGAACAGACAAGTTATTGAGCATAATATTTGATTGTAAAACCCACTGCCAATAAGACAGACTTTTACCAACACATCTGCAAACTCCAACGCATTGTAACATGAAAAAGAAATACTTCTAAATGTCAGAAAATGTGTAAGTTTTTTTTAATGTATTTATTTTCTCACCTACTTACCTGCATTTAAGGTAAATATAAGAAAATTTCTATTTTCTGTATATAATTGAAATCATCCGTTAAAAGGCAATTTACGAGTGCATTGCTCAAATAGTGAAGGAATTACAAAAAACACCGACTTGACCTGACTGTGGCAGGATATCCAATTAAAAAAACAACACTTTTTTAAATAGAAAAAAAACCCTGTACAATGTTCTTTTTTATCCCCTCCTTCATTTTGCCTTCCGTCTCATCCTACTTTCTGAGTAAATAAATAAATGCTTCAATGCCACAGTATAGCCAGGATTAGGTTCAGTCTAATTTATTAAATCCATTATTAAAGGTTGACTTTGACTGAACACTGGATTAAACCCATTAACTAGTTCCAACCTGTGCTTGGTTCCATGCTATGCATGGAATTAAAACCAACTGCCTGCTACGCCTTCTGCCCAACAACCTGCATTTTATTATTAAACCTGGGTCTGCAGGTTTGTGTGTCTGTTTGTGTGTGTTTCCTGGAGTGTGTGTTTATAACCCAGCATTTTTTGTATTTATGACTTGGAGTGTGTGTGTATGCAAAAGAATATTTGTGAGCATATGTCCAGGAATGCACATTTGTGTATGTATGCTTAAATGTCCCAGAGTATCTATATATGGTTCCTGAGGAGAGAGAGAGAGAGAGAGAGAGAGAGAGAGAGACTGTGTGTGTGTGTGTGTGTGTGTACTAGAGCTTGTATGTAGGTGTTAGTATTTGTCAGGTAGTGCATATGTATTAATACCACATTGTGGAAGGATAAACATATATACCACACAGTATCTGTTTTCAGAATTGATATTTAAAACAATAACACAAGACACACAAACTAGTTCACCTATTAAAAGCTTAGTTTTTTTTCTTCCTGATTTCAGATATAATTGAAGCATGATTCATAGTCATACATAGTCATACATATGCATAAAGTCCGGATATAAAAGTAATCTAGAAATGTGTAAATTTACTTTGTTTCCTAGAACTTTTGAGGTAAAGTGTAAAAATAATATTTACCAATTGGGATGCCGTTATCACAGGGTGAAGGTGCCGAGTGCTAAAGCTTTACAAAATATTGTAGTGGTGAAATATATCATTTCCTGATACAGACTTCCAAACACATTATCATGTTACAGTGTAATGGTGTGAGAACAGTATAATTGCAGAATGATAATCACAAGTTTAATCACAGTAATAGTAAAAATACTTATATTATGCAGCCTCTCTATTTACAAATTATTTATTGATATTAAAGAACCACTGAATGGCTCTCCTTCTTCCTCACTACAGTCCTTCTGTGACTGTATTACAGCACAATGAGAAGTCAAAGCAGGTGCTCTGGAATGCAATGAGTGTTGCTCCAGAGGTCTAAAATGGCAAGACACAGGGGTGGCCCAAGACCTTGTGCTGTCTGGGTCCGAGAATAAAATGCCCACCAAAACCACGTCCACCAAAACACGCCCACATCCATTATGTTATGCAGTGTGGATAGTTAATGCAGTGTAGTGAATGCATTGTGTGTGTGTATATTGGGTGTAGAGTGTGTATTTGTGTAGTGAATGCAGAGTGTACATTGGCTGTGTGTATTGTATGCAGTGTTTGCAGTGAATGCATTGTGTGTGTATATAGTGGATAGAGCTACAAAAACAAATTAATGGAAAACTTTAAAGAAAAATGCAAAAATATTGGAAAGGTTAAGACCTACAGTAAGGGTAACCAAGTGGATAAACTCCTTTTGCAGAAATTTGCAATAAAAAAGATAAGATTTCCTCAAATAAAATAACTACAATTGTTGATGAGAAGGAAGTCTATATGATGCCAAAACTACTTGGTAACTGTATTAATGCATATTATAGTAAGCTTTGTAATTTACCAGCAGTCAATAAAGATATGAATACATACCTATATAATATGCCTGCTCCATCAATTTTGGAGGGGCAAAAAGATACTCTTAATGTGATGTAACTGCCCAAGAAGTCAAAGTTATTATCTTAAATTTAAAAAACTAAAAAACTCTGGGACATGATTGGTTTTGCACTTTATTTTATATGACTCAGTGTTCAAATAGCAGAAACTTTTAATGAAATCATTACACAGGATTTTTTTCCCCAAGAAATGTTAGGAGCTAATATCCTACCGATTTTGAAACAAGATAAAGATCTGACCAAAGAAGAAAGTTACAGACCAATCTCACTAATAAATGTCGATATTAAACTTTCTCAGCGGTATTAGCTAACAGATTGAAAGAGGTCGTAAACACTATCCCTAAGAAAGTTTAGATAGGTTTTGTGCTTGGTATAACTTTTACAGGTAACACCAGACATATAATAAATATTCTGGACTGTGCCAAAAGAAGAAAAATCTCCATTCTTCTTGATAGCAGTTGATGCGGAAATAGCCTTTGACAGGGTCGTTTGGGAGTTTTTCTTTGAGGCTTTGTTGAGGTTTGGTATTCAGGGTTGGATGCACTGGGCAACCCTGTCTCTATATTCCTGACTCTCTGCAAGAATGGTAGGACCAAATATTTGTGCAGACTGGTTTAATCTGCACATTGGAACTAGACACGTTTGCCCATTGTTGCCTATCTTGTATATTAATTCATTGGAGCTTTTGGCAATTAACGTAAGACATGATGCTCTTATTAAAGACTTTGCTACAAGACAAAGAAAGTTAAAATTTAATCTATATGCAGACAATATGCTTGTGACCCTAACCAACCCGGTCATCTCCTTGAATAACCTGATGCAAGAGATAGAGACTTAACGCAATTGCTCCAATTATAAAATTAATGTCCACAAATCGACGATTATGGAGATCAATTTAAATAATGAAAACAGAAGTCAAAAGTCACTATAACTTTGGGTGCAAAAAAAATATTCCTTAGTCATTCCTTGAGAAAAGAGAAACAGGTTGAAATAACCGGGTGGGGCAGAATGAATTTGATTAATGCTTACCTATTGCCAACATGGTCTTATCTATTCCATATGCTCCCTCTAAAGGTATCTAAACCTTGTTTAGATATGATTTAAAACTATTTTACAAATTATATTTAGAAAGGAAAAAGACCCAGAATCAATAAGAAATATTTGGTGCAGAAGATAAGAAACTGATGTTTGGGTTTTCCTATCATTGAGACAACTTACTATGCTAATCTAATCTTTCATATCTATAAATTACAATTGGATATTGTTAAAAAGGAGATATGGTATTCTTTAGGGTTGTGGTCCAATTGATTTGGATGCCTTATTGTGGTTTTGGAGTAGAGCTACTCAGATAAGCATTGCCAGAAAGGCTAATGAATGCTTGGACTCTTTACTTCATGGTTGGGGCAAGAACTTAGAAATAGAACTGTGGTCTAGAAAACAAAATCCAATGAACACCATATTATCCTACATTTAATTTTATATAAAATATTTAAATCTAAGTAAATGGATTCAAAAAGGTATTGTTTAAGTTGACCAATTAATCATGAGAGATACAATTAAACCATTTCCTCAATAAGTGCACGGGTTCCACCTACCTAATAATTAGCTATTTACAGCGTTATTTAATATATTTACAGCGTTATTTAAATAAAAATATTATATGTCACTCTGTAGAGGTGGCTAGGGAAATATGTACACTATTCAGAAATACGCCGGTGGATAAAGTGGTTTCAAAAGCAAGGTAGGGTATGTTAATGCTTGATGCTTCCTCCATTATTCCAGTTTGTCAAAAGTGGGAAAAGATCTAAAGATAACAATCACTAAAGAAGAGTGGTGTCCAATACTTTCTAAAACTTGTAAAGTTGTTCATTGTCTGGACTTGAAATTGAAAGCATTGAACAGGCGGTACTGGTCACATCCAGTTTGACTAAAATGTGTAATACAAGTTTGCCAATTTGTGGGAGATACTGTAAGCACCTGAGTTCTTTTATTCACATATGGTGGGAGTGTGATCTAATACAAACAATATGAATGGAGGCTTATGCGGGATTGGAACTATTGAACAGTTCTATTCTTAAAGCGCCGGAGAATGCCCTATTACACTTAAACATCACCTATGTATTTATGTTTATACACTTTATGATGGAAGTTAAAACCATTATTGCACGGAATTGGAAATCAGATACATCTCTCACACTAGATATGTTGAACTCACAAGTTTTGTTTGAGGTAAAAATGGAGACTATATTATTTAAGCATTATTTAAGCAAAAATGGAGACTATATTATTTAAGCATATTTTAGACCCAAAGAACTTAGGCTTAGTAAAGTGTTAGTTAAGCTCAACCAGGTATTGTGGTGTTTAACACCTGTGTAGGCTGTTTGCTAACATTGTCAAGCTGGATATATTTCCCTCAACCCCCATCAAGTGGTGTGAACTTCTACTCATCTTTGTAAGTATATTTGTATTTTGTGATTTATATGGCTATATTTGAATTTAAAAAAATGATCTGATTTTTTTTTAAATACACACTATTCACATAAGCCACTTCAGTTAAAACAGTATTAACACATCAAAACAAATATATAGGCTGGGTCACAAAGAGCTTTATTATATAAATGAATAGGGAATACATATACCAAAGATACTATTAATGTTATGATGATTTAAGTTTTACAACAAAAAAAGACTAAAAATAACCACAGAAACATTGGCTCTTTTGGGTGAGCCAGTTTCGTTTCGAAAATTCCAAAAACAGTCATTACATAAAATCTGGGATATACAATTCTAAAAACATAACATCACTATTTAATTATTAATTTCTGAAAATATGCTGATACAACACAAAACAATAAACAGAAAAAGGCTAGAAAACACATAATCAACACTCCATTTATTTTACACGGCTAGTAATGTACAATGTGTTTAAAAATAAAAATGCAACACTTTGAAAACATTTATTTTATATTTCTTAATTGCAGTGTTGAATATGAACAAAATTAATCCCAAGCTTGATTTTATTTTCCATATCTTGATTCGTTTTCCCACTATAATTAGCCTTATGGGATGGTTTAAAAAGTAATGTCGTTCAGAGGAAGATGTGCGATAAAATGCTAGGGGTACTTGCTTACATCTGTTCGTTATTTTGAAGTTCTTTAAGCCTATTTAAAGTTAGAAGTTGTTAATAGCTCGCTAGTTTTTCACAGACGTGTTATTTTGATGATGTATGGTGCAATATGCCCGGTGGGAACGAGCCTTCTTCAAATGATTCTATTTTTAAATCTCTGGCAGATGGATAAAAGATTAAAACTTTTTCAATTAAAAGCACTTTTTACAGTGAAATAAAATAAAAACATGTGAAGCTTCCCAATGTATAACAAATGTTAAGTTTTCTATTATGTTACTATATTTTTTTGAGCTAAACAAAGTAAAACAATTTAGTTACTACTGGTATTGCAACGTATATCATAAGTTAAATTAAGCTGAAAACAAATTGACCACTGGGGAAAATTGTATGCGTTGTTGAAGAACATTAATTTCCTTCCATATGTGATAAACACGGCAACATTTAAGACAGCTTCAAATCAGTGTTACTGCTTCACTAATGATAACTGTCACATTATTGATATCTCATTCTTGCTTTCACAATATGGTAAGCTCAATGTGTGTGCAAAAATAGATCATTTTATCTTCAAAATCCATCTGTAAGCTAAAATGCAAAGTTATTCATAGACCATTTTGAAAGCTTTATAAAAGAATAATTAGACTTATTCTTAGTCTCTACAATCTCAGAGATTTCCTAATAATTTTAACACTTTGTCAAATGAGTTAACATGTTTTGTCAGGAGGACCTAACTGCCTTATAAAACATATTTCTGGTGGAGTAGCAATATTAGTAATTGGACTGTAGGTGGTGCTGTTCCAATTGTACATAGTTACAGAATAAAGTACATTTTATCCTCTTTAATTCCTGTTCAGGCATGTTTCCTATGTCCTCATGATTAACTGTCTTTCTTATTCTAACTAGTAGTTTGTTTATGTTACTTTTATCAAATAATGTTTGCTTTTTGTTGCCAGTAAAGTTAGAAATCCACATTCATTTGAATCCTACTAAGTTATTTCAGCAAGCATAACTAAAAATGTCTGAATTTGAAAACTACATAATGAATATTTCTTTCCACTTTCTATTACTGTTAATCACATTTAACATACATAAATCATGGACAAGATATAGAGGTATTTTGGCTTACAAATCAGATACATATTGGTTGCAAATACAAAACCAAGATTTTAATTATTCCATTAAAATTGCTAATTCTTTCTCGATGGGCCAATATAATGTCAACATAGATAGAAGAGGACAGATGAACTATATCTTCCAAATAAAACATGTTGAACTCTTAAATCTTTTGTGAGGAGCTCCATGATCTTACCAGAAGAACTGGCTATACCGCCATAGATTTGAATAAATGTTCGATGGTGAAACAAATTTAAAATGTACAGAGAAGAACACTTTAATTTTGTGAGTGGCAGTATGGCCAGGGGCTGGGCCATTCTTTAAAATTTTAGGTGACTTACTAATAGCAATTTATGCATCTAAAATGTTATTTAGAAAAAAAATAATGTTTTATTTAAACTGACTCATTTCTAAATGCATGTTTGTAGTTTACAGACAAATTACTGTGAGTATTATTTATGTGGGGCTCTGTTATACAATCAGGCTTACTAACAATATGGAGCTCCTAGAAAAGAGGGACAGTGGGACTGCCCAAAATAGAGGCTGACCCTCCCAGATAGGGGCATTTGGTAGGTATTCCTGTGGGTGTAAAAATATGTATTATTTTGGATGTTTAAAAAAATACATTCACCTTGATGCTATATTTTAGGTAATTTTCTAGCACTGTGTCTGCCTATCTGTGTCTTTCTTTCAAGTTATACCCTGGCCTCATGCTAGACTAACATAGTCTCTGCCTAATAGCTCCATCACCTTTTTTTTTGTTTGGTTTTCTCCAATAAACTTGAGACTTGTAGTGTATGAAAATCCTAAATTACAGGAATTAGGTAAAAAGTTATGATTTGGAAAACATCTTCAATTAATTTTGAGTCAAAGCTTTGATCTATTAGTCTACATTTTGCTATTTTGATTTTAACACACTTCCATGTGTTCTTTTGTGAACAAATCCTAAAAATTCTAGGGTTTCTCCCAAACATTGTGAAACCCTAGGTATATTTTTATAGTCAGAGTTCCCTACAGATGGCTAAGGGGCAGCAGGATATTAATGCTTTGTATTTTTAATTTAATCATTTTACATCAAGCAGTGGATTATCAGCACCAAGCAAAGAATTAGAGCAGGATTAACCTCAAGGCAACCATAGGCGGCCACGTAAAGGCCAGGGGTAAAACAGGGGTCCCAAAACCATGAATATGGTTGGGCCCAGTCACCATTCATTTAAGAATAATAAGGTGGGAGGTCCCAACCTTATAACCAGCCAAGTGTCATGTTGGGATCTTAATCCTTCTTTTGTCTTGGGATGGGGGTTATCAAGTTTTTTTTTTCTTTCAGCTCATGCTCCAGGTATTTCTGGAAGTTAGCAATACCCACGGAAACAGTAAAAACCTACAGTTTCACGCCAACCTATACATCCTTCAACGGATCACTGCCTGGCTAACTCGTATGAATGCAGACATTGCACTAACTTCTGGAGATGTGAGACAGCAGTTTGAACGGACCTACACATATAGTGGTCATGCCTGAAAAAAGCTCCTTACTGGCAACAAATACATTAGATGATAAAGGAAATTTTGGACACAGATCTACTGCATCACATGAAACTCTCATTGTCCACATACAAGCGATCGTTAGAGAGGCACCGACTTTAATATCGAATTCAACAACCCTAACTGCCCTGATGCTTCTCGTCTGCTCTCTATAACCTCCTCCATTGGACTTACACAGTGGTCTAATTCATCAACTCATAGTCTCATAGTGTAGAAAACACTCTTAACCGCATCTTCACCTATCTCTGTACTACGGAACTTGTTGGTGCGTTATAAATAATAATAATAATAATAAATGCAGCCAATCTCTCATACCCACAAGATGGCGCACTACTGATGTCTCGACTATTTAGAATTGGATGGGTAAGGTTGAAGAACTATATGAAATATAATTACTAACATCATCAATCCGTGGAACCACTGAACAAACCACTACACTATGAACCCCCTGGTTGGATTTCCCCCAAGTGCACTGCGGTCACCACAGAGGAAAACCTGAGCTCTATAGAGTGATGTTTGCCCATACAAAGAGGAGATGGACAAATGCCAAAGACATAATTCACTCCTTCCTAATGTTACCCTATAATGGTGCACCACATGGCACCAGTTTTGCTGGATTAGTTGTGCTTGACATCAGAGGTGTTTCATTAGCCAATCTTCAGTGATGTAATGCTGCTTTTATAATGACATAGACCAAGCCTCTGAACACCCTGCACAACTAAGGCCCTATCCAGTCTATACTTTACTTTTACAGAGCACATACACACAGAATATAGAGTGATTGAAGGATAAACTGTTAAAGTTGAAACTTCATCAAATAAAGAAATTTTGAAAAGTGACACTGGAATTTTAAATCGTTGTCCACCATAGAGGTAAAAAAAAAGCTAATTAGGAGCATTTTACATTATAACAGCGTTGTCCTAAAATGTGAAATGTGTTAACTTAACCCATGTTCATTTTAATCTATACACTCTGTGGTTGTCAAAAGATTCACTATTTTGGAAGTTCTAAAAAATTGTTAATTGTGATGCTACTGGATACTTTCGATAGTTTCTCCCTAACAATGGCCCTGTCTCTCTGTAACCATCTTTTAGGTTATGCCCCTGCTAGTATGACACAGGGTCTTTCTAACTGTAAGGCTGTCACTTCTCAATAAACAGAGTATTGTAGTGTACTGAGAATCCTAGATTTAAGTAAAATCCATATTTCCACATTTCAGTAAAATATGCAGATTTTATAACATTCTCCAATTCGCCTAAGGTCAAAGTGTGGATAATTTAGTCTAAATGTTGCTACGTCGATTTCAGTTCATTACAACATGCCGTTTTGTGAATATACCCCACAAAGTCTAGTGCCATCACTTTTCATCAATATGCTTGCTTAAAATTGTATAGCTCACTATAAAGAAGAGTGTTGATTCTCGTAAATGCATCACCTTGCTCTAAAAACATTATCTACTTAACATCTTACATAACAACTTGCTATGTCTTACTATGTCTGAATGACATCAATGGTGTTCTATTAGTCACACATATCTTCAGTGATGTCACAATGCCTTTATGATGTCATAGACCAAGCCTATAAATACCCAGCACCATTCAGGACTCAGTCAGTCAATAGTTGACTTTTACAGAATGCACACATATACACAGACAATTCTGAGTGATTGAGGGCTAAAATGTTAAATTTGAAGATTCAACAAATTAGGTAATTGAGCAAATTTTGAAACTTTGTCATAAATGTACGAGGTAGAAATAGCAAATAAAGAGAATTGTGAGTAAAATGTGAAACTACAGCCACCAGAACAACTATTTTTTATTTATTTATTACTGGTATTTATAAAGCACCAATAAATTCTGCAGTGCTGTACAATTAGTGGAGAACGTACAATATACACAGACAAATAGAAGAGGTAAGCTGATATCTAGCCATTAAGCTGATATCTAGCCATTGCAGCTCTTTTATACAAAGTGCTTAGCTAGATAGCTCGTGAGCTTACAATCTAAAGGATACAGTGGGGATTCGACAGGTAGCAGGGGAAATTTGGAAATCATGGCTAAAAGAAGTTAGCTGAGAGTTGCAGCTATTGGTAAAATATAGAGAGAATGAAGAGGTAATTGAGTGCGAATCTCAAACAGCTGGAGGAGCATGCTATATATTTAGGGGGAACCTGGGTGGGCGGGAGGAGAGGAGGGTGGGGTGTTGCAGAGCTGCAATAATGTAGTTTCTGTGAGTATGAAGGTATTTACAGCCAGGAGGATCAAAGGAAAGAGGGGGGAGGGTAGAGTACATGTGTTGTATACAATCAAAAAGTGTATCAACCAAATTCTAAACCCAAAATATTAATTACTTTGTACATGGAATATTGGTCAGAAACATTAAATGACAATGAAAGACTGCATGCACAGAAAATTACAGTGGCAAACTACAGGTTTAAATGGTAACAATTCTATAGTAACACATGATAATATGGTAACAATGTATGAATAAATACTATAGCGTAATGTAATTGTTCTGGTGGCTATAGCCTGTCCCTGCAAGCAGTTTAATGTAAACACTGTTTTTTCAGAGAAAAGGCAGTGTTTATATTACTGCCTAGGGAATCTTCTAGCAACAGTCACTCAGATAGTCACTAGTCATGATTCCTGGGTCAGTGCTGCACAACTTGCAGCACTGACATTCAGCGTCTCCACGCACTGCATAGAATCACTGATCTTTTCCCATAGAGATGCATTGATTGGCGCATGTGTGATCAGAGGCATACCTAGAGCATTTGGCACCTGGGGCGGGTCCTATTTTTGAATGCAGGCATGCATTTTTATGTAGTGTGGTTTTTTTAAGGCAGTGGTGTGGTTATATATGCCATATTTAAGGACACCAAATAAGGATAAGGGAGCTATCTGCTAAACAGCACCCTAATTTGGTATCTTTAAATATGGAACTCTCACATAAGGTCATCAATTTAGAGAATTAGCAACTAAACAGCTAAAAGATCAATTTAAAAAAACAAAAACCTTTTCTTAATTTCAGTTGTTTAGTAAATAATGCCCTTATTTGTTATCCTTATATGGGATTGCAATATTTAAGGACACCAAATAAGGGAGCTATGTTCCAAACACATACACATTTATATACACACACAATAACACAATAGGTGTATGTCTGTGTGTGTATATCTGTGATTGTGTGTGTGTGTGTGTGTGTATGTATATATATATATATATATATATATATATATACGTATACATATACGTGTGTGAATGTATATATTTATATATATATATATATATATATATACTTACACACACACACACACACGTGTGTATGTATGTGTGCGTGTATATCTAACTATGTGTGTTTGTAATTGTATGCGTGTGGGTCTGTGATTGTGTATGTCTGTGTTTATGTGTGTGGTTGTGTGTGTACCACAGAGATACACACACAACCACACACATAAACACAGACATACACAATCACAGACCCACACACATACAATTACAAACACACATAATTAGATATACACACGCAAACATCACATACATGCACACATTTAATAATTAAGAGGTCCACCCATCCTCCCTACCTTCCTCTGTCCCTGGTAGTCAGCGGTTGCTGCTGGGATCTCTGTGCTCTTCATGCACACGTCCCTTGCACATCCTGTAATATGACGCCGATGCTTGGATGATGTTATATGCCGGCTCACTGCTGGGCGAAGACAGTCAGATACAGTCAGATGTACACAGTTATACGCATATACTGTCAAATACAGCCACATGCACACCGTACCAAACACAGTCACTTGCACACTGTCAAACGCACAGCTGCAGGTAGACAGCAACACACACAGTTACAGACAGTCACACACACACAGCTACAGGCAGACAGTAACACACACACACACAATTACAGGCAGACTGTAACATAGTTACAGGCAGCACACAGTCACACACACACAGTCACAGACAGACAATCATACACAGTCATAGACAATCACAGGCAGACATTCATACATACAGGCACAGGCAGACAGTCACACTGTCACCAAAAGTCAGTCTCACGCACAGTCACAGGAAGACTGTCACACTCAGTCCCAGGTAAACTGTCACAGGCAGACATTCACAGACACAGTCACCGGTAGACAGTCACAGACAGACATTTACACACACAGGCACAGGCAGACAGTCACAGATGCAGTAACAGGTAGACAGCCACAGGCAGACATTCACACACACAGTCACAGATAGTCACAGGCAGACATTCACACACACACACAGGCAGAAAGTCACAAGCAGTCTCACACACACACACACACACACTCTTTCTCTCTCTTACTTACTGGTGGAGGAGTGGAGTCAGTGAGTCCCTGGTGTGTTGGAGTTGGGGAAGCAGTGACTCCTTCCTGCTTCCCCTCAGTGTGCTGCAGTGAAAGGCAGCAAATGGAGGCTGACTGTAGCACCGCCACCGCATCCGGCTTGGCTCCACCTCCACGGCCCAGTTGGCTCCGCCCCCAATTCTCCGTGCAGTACTTCTGTACTGCTGAATTCCCAGCCCCTGCGTGTGTGAGCTGTGTGGCTCCTGGCACCCTGTGCAGCCACACAGCTCACAGAGTCACAAGCCTGGCCAGCCCTGGAGGCACCCCCTACCTGGTTGCACCCCCCTAACTGGTGGCACCCGGGGCGGACCGAACCTCCCCCCCCCTTAGTACGCCACTGTTTGTGTTAACCTTCCTATGCTTTACTTTAGGAAAGCATTGGATTGGCTAAGATCATCATTTCTCAGCCAAGAAAGCTGAACCTGGGCGGAGCCAGCACTGGCGGACCTGAGCCTCGCTGGAATAAAGGTAAGTTCTATACTTATTTAAGGGGGACAAGGAGGAGTCGGATGCCTAACATGGATTTTTAACACTATAGTGTCAAGAATACATGTTTGTATTCATGACTATATAGTGTTCCTTTAAAGTGTCACTGTGACTGTCTAGGGACTTTGCAAACTTTGCAAAGATACACAATTGAGACATTGCCGCTGGTGGTGCAGTGGCCAGAAGGGCTGGAAAGGGTGAGATTTATTTAACTGAACCTGTCCCTTGAGAACACTGCCACCTTCTTCTGGCCGATCCTCTTCTGCACGAGAGTACAGAATTGAGGTCTATGGGGCAACCCGCTAAACCCCTTCCATAGATACAGCTAATCTCCCTGCAGCCGTCACGGGTGTTGGCAGGGAGATTGACACTTCTAATTGGTGGTGGCTTCGTCCAATGTCTAGAAGTGTCTGTAGGAAAAATACAAAAAAAAAAGTACCCTACTTTGACTCAGTATATCAATTGACTGGGTTGACATTTCAGTGAAATTCCAACATAGTCATTATATGTAATTCATAAAGATTTTACCTTTATGAAATGCTCATTTTGCAGGGGGGCTGGGTAACAGTGACGCTTTAATTCAACCCATCACTTTTCTGATGAACATACCGTGTGCACATACTTTCCACAATTTAAAATGACAAAGAGGGACACTTTAATTTAGGTTTGTGATTGAAGGTGTGGCAAGGGGCCTCTCTTAGAAATCCTGGTAGATACACTGAACAAAATTATAAACACAACACTTTTGTTTTTGCCCCCCCCCATGTTTTCTAAGATCTAAGACTTTTTCTATGTACACAAAAGGCCTATTTCTCTCAAATATTGTTCACAAATCTGTCTAAATCTGTGTTAGTGAGCACTTCTCCTTTGCCGAGAGAATCCATCCAGCTCACAGGTGTGGCATATCAAGATGCTGATTAGACAGCATGATTATTGCACAGGTGTGCCTTAAGCTGGCAACAATAAAAGGCCACTCTAAAATGTGCAGTTTTACTGTATTAAGGGTACCCGGGGGGGTCCGAAAAACCAGTCAGTATCTGGTGTGACCACCATTGCCTCACGCAGTGCAAAACATCTCCTTCGCATAGAGTTGATCAGGTTGTTGATTGTGGCCTGTGAAATGTTGGTCCACTCCTTTTCAATGGCTGTGTGACGTTGCTGGATATTGGCAGGACCTGGAACACGCTGTGATATACGCCGATCCAGAGCATCCCAAACATTCTCAATGGGTTACATGTCCGACCATGCAAGAACTGGGATGTATTCAGCTTCCAGGAATTGTGTACAGATCCTTGCAACATGGGGCTGTGCATTATCATGCTGCATCATGAGATGATGGTCGTGGATGAATGGCACAACAATGGGCCTCAGGATCTCATTCCGGTATCTCTCTGCATTCAAAATGCCATCAATAAAATGCACCTGTGTTCACTGTCCATAAAATACGCCTGCCCATACCATAACCCCACCGCCACCATTGGCCACTCAATCCACAACGTTGACATCAGCAAACTGCTCACCCACACGAAGCCATACATGCCATTTGCCCTTTACAGTGAAAACCGAGATTCATCCATGAAGAGAACACCTCTCTAAAGTGCAAGACGCCATCGAATTTGAGCATTTTCCCACTCAAGTCAGTTACGACGATGAACTGCAGTCAGGTCGAGACTCTGATGAGGACGACGATCTTCCCTGAGACGGTTTCTGACAGTTTGTACAGAAATTCTTTGGTTATGCAAAACGATTGTTCCAGCAGCTGTCCGGGTGGCTGGTCTCAGACGATCTGGGAGGTGAAGATGCTAGATGTGGAGGTGTGTGGTTACATGTGGTCTGTGGTTGTGAGGCCAGTTGGATGTACTGCCAAATTCTCTGAAACGCCTTTGGAGATGAACATTCAATTCATGGTATAGAAATGAACATTCAATTCATGGGCAACAGCTCTGGTATACATTCCTGCAGTCAGCATGCCAATTGCATGCTCCCTCAAAACATGCGACATCTGTGGCATTGTGCTGTGTGATAAAACTGCATATTTTAAAGTGGACTTTTATTGTGGTCAGCCTAAGGCAATCATGCTGTCTAATCAGCATCTTGATATGCCACACATGTGAGGTGGATGGATTATTTCAGTGCTCACTAACAGAGATTTAGACAGATTTGTGAACAATATTTGAGAGAAACAGTCCTTTTGTGTACATAGAAAAAGTCTTAGATCTTTAAGTTCAGCTCATGAAAAATGGGGCAAAAACAAAAGTGTGGCGTTTATAATTTTGCTCAGTGTGAATACCTGCTTTATTATCTCTGCTCACTGATTATGGTAAATTACAAACTAAATTAGTAAAATACTCAAGTTTTTCCAATTAAACTCTCCCATTATTTGGTATTTCCTCTTAAACAACAATGTTTATTTGATTGGAGATCTACAACCATTACATTTTCAGAGGTTAAATTCACTATATCTGTGATAAACATTTTTAAGAATAACCACCTCCCTCTCTTAAATAGTCACAAGGAGGAACTACTAGAAAACTTTTGTGGGCAGGTCGGTGTTGGGAATAATACACTTTATCTATACAATGTTTAGTGAATATTCCCCTAGAAACAGAGCTACAAACTTTACTGTCTCAAGGCTTTGGTCTTATTTCCTGTTTTCTACTTCTGTATTTCTAACTGCATAGTAACATATCTATTTTTAAGTGCGTAGTAACTTCTCTATTTCTAACTGCATAGTTAATTGGGCACGTGGCTTGACCGTATATGGTAACCTAGGGATAAAGATTACTCCCAAAAACACCTGCAAGCTAGCTATAGGTTAAGATATGATAAGATAGAAGAATTATGTTATTATTGAATAATGTTCATAAGACCACCCCTGTTTCCTTTACAATATAATCACTTGTACCACCTATTAAAACTCAGAAGTTATTTTAAACCTTACATTGTCTTGTCTCATTCATTGGGGCTCCTCACCAGCAGGATGGAGATAAGGAGAAGTACAGAGAGTTCCAACTTGATGAGGGAATACGTGCTGATCTAGAGAATCTTCACTTCTTTTCAGTAGGATAAATACAGTAAAGATAATGCTACTCCACTGAATGTTATGCTTTTAGACAACTTTACATATAAACTCTTGCATGTATTTGTAAATTGAGGTGATATGCTAATAAACCCTGTGTGAAATTATTCAATACCAATAAAATTATTTTATAATATATTTAATATTGTATAATATATAAAATTATCATTTAAAACGGTTTATTACTTAAACAGTTATTTTTTAGGTCAAAAAGGCCCAACACGTGAAACAGATTTTATAAAATATAGCTATGTGGCCTTAATTTGCAATTATTTGGTGAAATCCCCCCTAATGTTTGCTTTTTTGTGTTTTCCCCTTTGTGTGCTTTTTTATGATTAATATATATCTTTAAACATGAATATCTTTTTTTGTGTATTAGGTAATAGACCTTCAGGAAAATGATCTGAGTTGAATTAACAGGAAATTGAAAAATGTCGCTATATAACAAAAAGATATGATACTTAACTGGTCAACCGTTTATCGAAATCGAGAGTAATTTGTCTGGTTACTCAATCAATCAAGTTAATATGT